CTTTCCTCCCTTCAGCACTCTGTCTTCCTCTTCTTGGCCTCTCTGCACCACACATGGCTGAACTTCTGCTGTTCCTGATCACACCTCCCTTCCTTCCTTGGCCTTTCCTCCTGCCCCACTGAGGCTGCCACTGCTCCTGCAGCCTCCATCCATGGCAGGGCCTGCCTGGCTACTTTCTCATCACCCTTCTCCGGGCTTTCCAGCTTCTTCTCCACCTTCTATTCCACTATGCTGAAGGCACTGGCACACAGGTCCTGGCCTTCACCCCCTCTCCATCCCTGCCCATCTGCTGGCTTCCCTTCACCCCTACCCAGGCCACTGACCCCCACGGCCATCTCTGACTCAGAAATGATAAACTCCCATTTCTTCTGATTGGGCCACAATCACCAACCTGTCTAGGCCCCAGGACTTCTGTTCTCCAGTGTAAGAGAGACCTGAGACCCCTATATTGAGGACTGTCTGCCCTTCCTGGCCTCTTCCCCTCTTCCCACCCTTCCAATACCCAACACCACATCCATCACAGAGGCCCCACTTTCCACTCCTGTAGCCGGGCTACAGGAGACCACCCACACCCTCCAGACCCCCCGTCACAGCCACTCGCTTCTGCTCAGGAAACGTTCTGGAAACTTGCCCCCCTCACCAGGACCCCCACCTTCTGCCCCGCACCCGGCTGACTTCACCCGCACTTTCTGTCCTCTTGCACATCACCCCATGCTCACTGCCCTCATGGAATTCGCCACCTGCCCCTCGGGGTTGCTTCACACAGGCCTTGGGTGGGCAGACTGGGAACTCCTCAAGGACAGGGCTGGGGTCATCTCAGGGTCTGCCCCGGCATGGAGGAAGCACCAAAGTGGCTGGTCAGGTGAGGCCCCAGGGGCACAGATTCCCAGCACAGGCTGATGCGAGACCAAGCCCGGGGCGGATACCCTGCCCCTCGGCCTCAGTTCTCGCCTCTATACTCCCCAAGCCAGCAACAGGGCAGACGCACCTATGACAGAGGCTGCTGCCCGCTCTGACCCAGGGATGGCGCTGTGCGGGACTCCCAGGGTAAAGGCCTCACTGTAGCTCTCGTCCACCTCCACCTTCTTCCAGATGCGGAACTCACCCATGGAGCCCCAGCCAGTGGAGAAGCCGATGAATCGGACCTCCGGTGGCCTGGGGAGGGTCCAGGCCATGATGACAGACTCATTGGAAGGCTCTGGGCCATGGCCAACCTGGAAAAAGAGGCCAAGGCTGCTGGCTGCTGAATGCTGAAAGGAAGCGCTCAGGCAGCAGTGACACTGGCTACAGGGCTCACAGAGAAACCAAGGGTCACCTTATCCATTAAATGGCCAACAAGAGACACAAGCATAGCACGTACAGTTTGCCAAGTCATCAGTTCCCTGGGACCCCTGGGCCTTTGCACATGCTATGCCCTCTGCCTGGAACATCCTCCACTCCGTAGTTTGCCTGGTGAACTCCTATGCAGGCTTCAAAACCCAGTTTGGCTATGTCCCTCTTCTAAGAAGCTGTTAGCTGCTCCTTTCCTATGTCCTCTTTGCCTGGCCCGTAAAATGCCCCAGCCTCGATTTCACCTGCTTATATCCACTTTCCTTCCCCACGACGACCCACTATACTTCAGCTCCCAGGTCCCCTGGGTGCTTCCACCACCACAGCTCTCACCTTTTTATTTTATTTTTTTTTATAAGTGACTCTAGGCAGACTGCGAGCAACCTGAGGTTGCGCCCTGTGTTTATCACCCCCGCCCCCTCCTCGCCCCCTGTTAAGAGCTGGACACAGAGTAGGAAGCAGCAAATGCCAAGGAGCCCGGGGTTCCCACGCCCACCCCAGCCAGCCCAGCCATGCCTGGATGAACCCTCCATGCCAGCTGATCCAGAACGTTCTGAATTCATCCCAGGACAGGATCTTGGCCGTGTACGTGCTGGCCACGGGGTCGCCCATCTTGCTGGTGGAGATCCAGGACCTGGTGTTCTGGTGCCCTCCCAGGACAATCTCTATCATGCCCGCTGTGTCCTGGGGTCCGGCGGACAAGGCCACGCGGGCATCATTGTGGGCTCGCACGGCCACATCAAAACGGGTGAGCCACAGCGGCCGCTGCACGTACTGGAACTCGTACTTGTTGGGCGTGGAGATGTGGACTCTCTCTGGATGGAGGGAAGGAGAGAGGGTGTTGAGGGGGCACCTGGAGGCATCCTGCCTCTCCCTGCCTGTGCCCAGAGCTGAGGATCAGGGCCCCTGGGGGGCCCGTCTCACTGTGGCTCTGCAGGCAGCTTCCTGAGCAACGGCGAACGGAGACGGCTTACCCACAGCTTTGCCGAGGGCACACGAAAGAGAAGATGCTCATGGGGCTAACTCCTACAAAAGCCCTGTACAGCCAGAGACTGCAAAATGCTGTTGCAGCTAATTCAGACCCCAATCAAGGGAGAGCCAGACCGCGTTTGTGGGTCAGAGGACAACACGGCAGATACGGTAATTATTTCCCAAACTGACACACGGATTCGCGGCAATCCCAGTCAGAATCACGGGGGGGGGGGTCTTTTGCGGAAATGACAAAGCCGAGTCCACAATTTATATAGAAACGTAAAGGACCCAGAGGGTCAACACAACTTTGAAACGGAACCAGGGTGAAGGACTCACACCTGTGACATTGAGACGCACTCAGAAGCGGCAGTAATCACGACAGTGTGGTACGGACATCAACCCAGGCTCACCAGAACAGCGTAGGGAGTCCAGACGCGGACCCGCTCGTGTGCGAACAACTGATTTGCAACAAAGGTGAGAAGGCAATTCAACAGTGAAAATCCTTTCAACAGAGGCTGTCGGAACCACTAGTTACCCAGAAGCAGAAAAGGGAACTCAGGTCCACACCGCGCATGGTTTTCCAAGGACCAACTCAAAACGGATCAGAGCTATTTTGTAAGCGTACAGCCTAATGCTTACAAACGTGGAGGAGAACGCGTAGGAATTGGAAAAGATTTCTTTCTTTTAAAATCTTTTTTAAGTTTATTTTATGAGAGAGGGACAGAGTGCGAATGGGGGAGGGGCAGAGAGAGAGGGAGACACAGAATCCGAAGCAGGCTCCAGGCTCCGAGCGGTCAGCACAGAGCCCGACGCGGGGCTCGAACCCACGAACCGTGAGATCATGACCTGAACCAAAGTCAGACGCTTAACCAACTGAGCTACCCAGGCGCCCCAAGATTTCTCTTTTTTAAAGTTCATTTATTCATTTTGAAAGAGAGAGAGAGCGCACACGTGGGGGAGAGGGAAAGAGAGAATCCCAAGCGTGGAGCCTGGTGCGGGGCTCAAACTCATTAACTGCGAGATCATGACCTGAGCCATAATCAAGAGTTGGACACCCAACCAACTGAGCCACCCAGATGCCCCTGGAAAAGATTTCTTTTAGATACAGCAAAAGCATAATCCATAAAATGAAAAACTGGTAAACTGGGCCACATCAACATGAAAAACTTCTAAAAAAAAAAAAAAAGAAAGAAAAGAAAAACCTCCGGTCTTATAAACACACTATTTTTTTTTAAATTTTTTTTTCAACGATTATTTATTTTTGGGACAGAGAGAGACAGAGCATGAACGGGGGAGGGGCAGAGAGAGAGGGAGACACAGAATCGGAAACAGGCTCCAGGCTCTGAGCCATCAGCCCCGAGCCTGACGCGGGGCTCGAACTCACGGACCGCGAGATCGTGACCTGGCTGAAGTCGGACGCTTAACCGACTGAGCCACCCAGGCGCCCCTAAACACACTATTAAGAGAAAAGACAAGCCACTTATTGGGAGAAATGTCTCTGCAAAGCATTCATCTGATAACTGACTTGTAACAAGAATAAATTTATAAAAACTTCCAAAAGTCAACGTAAAATAAACGTTAAAAGATCAGACCAGACACTTCACCAGAAAAGATACATTAACAGTAAACAGGCACATGAAAAGATGCTTGAATGAGGGAAATGCCTATCAAAACCACAATAAGATACCATCAGGCACCTATCGGAAGGGCGAAAAGTAATCAGAGGGATAACACCAGGTGTGGGCGAGGAGAGGGAAGAAGTGATTCTCGCCCCCTGCTGGTGAGAATGCAAAATGGGACTACCACTTTGGAAAACTGTAATCATTTCTTAAAAGGTTGAACACATACCTACTGTATGATTTAGCTATTTCACTCATAGGTACAGACTCAAGAGAAAGGAAAACATATTATCCATACAAAGACTTGCACATGAATATTCATAGAAGCTTTATTGGAAATAGCCCCAAACTAGAAATAACTCAAATATCCATCAGCAGGTCAATGAACAAAATGCAATACATCTATTCAATGGAGGCCCACTCGGCCTTAAAATGATTGAATTAGTGATACACGCAACGTGAATGAATCTCAGCATTTTTATGCTGAGTGAAAGAAACCAGAGAAAAAGAGTACATTTTTAATTTTTTTTTCAACGTTTATTTATTTTTGGGACAGAGAGAGACAGAGCATGAATGGGGGAGGAGCAGAGAGAGAGGGAGACACAGAATCGGAAACAGGCTCCAGGCTCTGAGCCATCAGCCCAGAGCCCGACGAGGGGCTCGAACTCACGGACCGTGAGATCGTGACCTGGCTGAAGTCGGACGCTTAACCGACTGCGCCACCCAGGCGCCCCAAGAGTACATTTTTATGATTCCATTTATATAAAAGTCTAGAAAGTGCGAAGTAATCTACAGAGACGGGAAACAGGTCAGTAGTTCCCTGGTGACAAGACTAAAAACAGGGGTGAGTGATTACAAGGGGGCATGACTTTTGGGGTTAATGGAAATCTTCATTATCTTAGATGTGATAGTTTCACAGATGTACACAGATGTCAACACTTCCCAAGTTGTACGCCTAAAATACGTGTGATTTATTGTATGTCAATTATACCTCAATCAACATGTTAAAAATATTACTGACTTTACTTTGAATACAAATGTACATTCAGCCTAGTGTAAATTATGATTTTAAAAAAGTAGAAACAGGGGCACCTGGGTGGCTCAGTCGGTTAAGCATCCAACTTTAGCTCAGGTCATGATCTCACAGTTCGTGGGTTTGAGCCCTGTGTCAGGCTCTGTGCTGATAGCTGGAGCCTGGAGCCTGCTTCAGATTCTGCATCTCCCTCTCCTCTCTGCCCCTCCCCCAGCACTTTCTCTCTCTCCCTCTTTCTCTCTCAAAAATAAATAAACATGTACAAAATAAGAAGAAAATTCTATAGTGGTCAAATTCTGGAACAGTCATTTGATAGAACATACTGAAGCTGTTTTGAAATGCTGTTTATAAAGTCTTTACAATAACAAAGAAAAGTGCTCGAGATGTGTTAAATGAGCAAGGCAGACCACAGAATTATTTAGCTCACGAGTCACAACTATGTTAAAACAAACAATAATCAACCGTATGCAACCAAATCTAACAAAATGTTAGAAAAGGTCATCTTTGGATGAGAACCAGAGGAGATATTTTTCCTTCTTTCTATCTTCCTAAGTTTCCTGTAATACACAAGTATTGCTTTTGCTTTTCCCAATTTTTAAAATTGTGGTAAAATACAAATAATGTAAAGTGTGCCCTCTTAATCATTTCTATGTGCCCAGTTCAGGAGTATCAAATACAGTCCTATTGTGCAAACATCATCACTGTTTCTCCTTGCAAAACTGTAACTCTGTCCGCATTAAACACTGAGCTGTCATCCCCTCCCCACAACCCCTGGCTCCCACCATCTACTTTCTGTCTCTATGATTTTGACTTCTCTAAGTACCTCATATTAGTGGAATCATACGGGATTTGTACCTATGTGTCACTTTTAAAAATGTTTTTATTTTACTTTTGCTGAGATAACTTTACATTCACATATGACTGTAAGAAATAACACAGAGAGATCTGTGTCCTCTGGACCCAGTTCTCCCCAGGGGTAGCTGGCAAGATTCTAGTACAACATCACAACCAGGATATTGACATCGATACAACCCATTAGTCTTGTTCAGATTTCCCCAATTTTATTTGTACAAGATCCCTCCTCTTGGCCTTTATCACCATACCCACACTCTTCCTCCCCATCCCAGCCATGGCTAATATAACCTCCATTTCGAAAATTTTGTCATTTCAAAAAATACTGCAAACAGAATAACTTATGGACCCTATTGGGATTGAGGGTTTTTTTTTTCCCCCCACTCAATCCTCTTCACCCAGATAGCTGCGTATGTCAATAGCTCATTCCTTTTTATCACTAAATAGCATTCCAAGGTAGGAATGTACCGTGATTTGCTTATCCACTCATCCACTGAAGGACACCTAGGCTGTTCCCAGTTTGGGGCTATTACAAATAAAGCTGATATGAACATTTATGTACGGGTTTTTGTGTGAACATAAATCTTTGTTTCTCTGGGGAAAATGCCTCGTAGTGCAATTTCTGGGTGGTATGCATGGAGCATGTGTAGCTTTTTAAGAAACTCCCAGCAGCAGCCACACCATTTTACAATTCCCACCAGCAACGTATGAATGATCCTCTCTCTCCCCATCGTCGCCATCTTTTACTGCTGTCACTATTTTTTTTTTTTTTTTACTTTAGTCATTCTGATAAGCGTGCCTTGACAACTTACCGTGCTTTATTTTGCATTTTGCTAACGGTTAACGATGTTGAACGTCCTTGTGCCTATCTGTCACCTGTATGCCTTCTTTGGTGAACTGTTTGTTCCTTTTTCCCACTTTCTAATTGGATCGTTTGATATTCTAGATACTAGTCTTTTGTCAGACCTGTGTCTGGAAGTATTTTCTCCCAGTCTGTAACTTGTATTTCCTCCTCTTAATAGCATCTTTTGCAAAGCAGTTTTTCATTTTGATAAGGTCCTTTTATGGGTGATGCTTTTTGGTATCATGTCTAAAAACTCTTTACCTACCCAGCCCCGGATCCTAAAGGTTTCTCAGAAATTTTCTCACAAATTTTTCCTAAAAGTTTTATCATTTTACATGTAAGTCCATGATCCATTTGAGTTAATTATCATATAAAGTGGGATCTTTAGGTCAAAGTTCATGCTTTTACCAACCATGTCCAATTACTCTATCACCATTTGTTGAAAAGGCTCTCCTCCCTTCATTGACTTGCTTTTGCACCTCTGTCAAAATTCGTTTCAGCTTGTAAGTGATGCATTGCTGTTTAATACACAAAGGGCGGGGCGGGGGGGGGGGGGGTGGTGGTGAATGTCAAGAGGAAGCCTGTGTCTAGAGTGGTCCCTGTGGGGCCGGTCACGCTGGATGCCTTGGCAACGGGGCGGTGCTGTACCTGAGGAGCCGACAATCCCCAGGGACTCAGCTCAGATCCTCAGCTCGGCCACCTGGCAAAGCCTGCTGGGTGCTGCCCAGCGCCAGGCCAGGCCTGAGCTCCTCTGGGAGGGGCCGGACAGGGAGTGGGCAGACCCTCCCACTGGCAGCCGGGCTCACATCCTGCCTAGCATTTCCCTGACCCCACCGAGGCAGAGGCATGGAAGGGCCCTGCTCTGGCCATTCTGTCCACCGCACACTCCGTGCCCCTTTCCTTTTCACAGATCACGTACAAACCTAATATCGATTTCAGGGGACCGAGGCAGACCCCAAATCCCACCCCTTCTGGAACCCACTTGAATTTCCTATTTTCTCTTTGGGCCCAGGGTTCCGGGTCGGTCGTTTCCCACAGCTTTCCCCTGACGTCTCTCGAAGACCTCCCTTCCCTGGATCCTAGGCTCCTCACCCGAGGGCCCCGAGGACAGCCCTGTTCCCGCCTCTGGTCTCTTTTCCCATTGGCACCTCCAGCCTACATGCGTGTGCACGTCCTTCCTGTGTGGCAGATGCCCGGCCCTCGCTCTGGCTTATGGTTGTCACCAGCCAGGACATCTCAGTTCTCCCCTGCCATGTCCTCTGGCCCCAGGAAGGGCAGGCATCCACTTAGCAGCAGGAGTGCTCCAACAGTGTGGTGGGGGGAGGGCCAAAGTCCTCAGGGGGGTGGGTGCAGGGACTCACCGTTGGGACAGAAGAAAGCACTGTAGGTGTAGCTGCGGGGGGCTCCTTCCGGCTGAAACAGAGAGATGGGGAGAACTGAGCGGGGGAAGGGCAGTCGGCACGGGGGGTGGGGGGGGGAGCGGCCGCCCTCCCACGGCAGCGGCTCCGAGTCTGGACCCTGCAGGGTGGTGCCAATGTCACGGGTACCCAGAGAAGGACCAGGCTGCCTACCTCCTAGGCCCGAGTGGGGAAACTGAGGCTCATTCCTCTTCTCCGGGCTCTGGTCAAACCCACTCACCAGCTGCTTCTAGACTGGCCGTGCTTCCCATACTCCCACCTTGTCCTCGGGGTCTCCTGGGCTAATCGGGGAGCCAGGCAGGAGGGCACCAGCTCCTCCTCCCTCCGGTTTAGCGCCCGCGGTGGTTCCCAACCGTCACCTGCTTCCCCACCTCGCGGGAAGGTACTGGTGCCACGTGCAGTTTCGTCCCCAGCAGAAGGCACGCAGCGTCGCGTGAGGGTCCACCAAATATCCGATCCGGCAAACAGACCGCGCACCCGGAGCTCTCCAGCGGGGTGGAGAGGCAGCAGGGCTTTGCTGCTTTATCAAGCCGCACGTCGGCCACGTCCTGTTTCATAAACCTGGTTTCCTCATCCACCACGCTTCAGTGTTTCTGCTTCGACATCTCAGGTCTTCTGATGCCCACCTGTCACCTCCCGCCCCCAGGGCCGCCTACACAAAGCGATACTGCAGATTAGGCAGCCCTTGAGCCGTGTGAGTGGGAGGAAAGGCCCAGGGGCAGAGCCCCTTGAGAATCCCTCTCTGTGCATTGAGAAATTCCTTCTGCAGACGGACGAGGCAAGAACTCTGGATGGCCTGCCATCTCCTCTGGCCCCAGGAGGGCGGGTTGTGGGCCAGGGAGCACGTTCAGGCAGAGCAAAGAGTTGCCAGGGGTCTCCGTGTTTCCCGTTGAGGCCATCCCCTCACCCCACTGGCTCACGGAGATGGCATTCCTCATCAGAGGACCCACTTGTCCCGGAGGAATCCATCAGGTCACGTCAAGCACGCTGTGGCCAACGACTCGTCCACCTCGGGGAGTTCTGTCCAGCGCGTGTGTGTGACTCCGGAGGCTGATGGAAATCATTTGTGCTCCGCGCTGCCAGGACCACGGCCAGGAGGGAGGGCGGCTATTTGCAGCTGAGCCCCTGGGGAGGGGCAGACACTGGGGACGCCGTGAGGAGCTTCCTCGGGGCTGTCGTGCACTCTCCACGTAGCATGAAGAGTCTTGGCAGGGCTCTGGGCTCTGAGGTGTCCAAGCAGCCCCCAAAAGATGGGACATCACTGCTACTACGTGCCCAACGTGCACTGCGAGGTGCCCTCTCCACACTGTGGGGTTAGCGTGAGCTCCCCTGATTTACGGAGCAGGACTGGACTATCAAGACATACGCCCAGCCCACACGGAGCGGTAGATCCTAGATTCCCAGCCAGCAGGGGAGGTGGGGCGTCAATGAGACCCCAACACCCAGGCCCCTCTGCTGCATAGGCTCTGCGTCCGTTCTGCCCCAGGCATTCCAGTGACAGGCCTCCAAATGCCAGGTCATAATCCCTACGGCTGCCTATGACAAACAGGAAGTCGGAGACAGGCACATCGCCCTCCAACACGGTCAACATGGGGGTCAGAGGACACTTCCCTGCGGCCCCTGCGAGTCCCAGGCCGCTTTCCCCCAAGTCCACGGTGCACGGCGGAGGGGCTGGATGCTGAGGGCCTCTAGCGAGGAAATGCAGACACCCCATGCCTGCCCCGAGCCCCAGAGCAGGACCCGTGGGGGCTGCCCCCGCCCCAGCCAGGCCCCCGCCTCGTGGGTGATGGAATCAGGCCCTGGCCGAGTGCCCTGGCTGAGGACACGGGCTTACCTCAACCATGACACTGCGCCTGATGTGATCCCTCCCAGTGGGGCCCCTCCTGTCAGCGAAGTGGTCCTCCAGGTGTCGGATGGACTTCCCGTCCCGGCAGCAGCTTGTGTCTCCGTAAGCCAGGGCTTTGGCTGTGGGGATTTGTGTGCTCAGCGCTTGCGGTCCGAACAGAACGCCCGCCCTCCCGGGGAAGCCTCACGCCCCACCTCCTCGTGGACCGCCTCGCCCCACCTCCTGACCATTTCCCAGCTGCCGTCCTGTCTCTCAACGTGGCCTTGACCTCACGTACTACCCCACCGGCCACTCACCTGTGCCTGGGGTCCAGACGGGGGGGGGGGGGGGGGGGTGGATGCCTGAAGCAGCACGGGGCCTCACCTGTGACGTTGCTGAGTCCCAGGTCACCGAAGGACAGAACCACCCAGGTGGGTTCCGTCTCCCCAGAGGCCACGCACATCTTCTTGGTCAGATGGCGTCTGCCTGGATGCCCCACAAAGCGGATGCCCTTGGGAACTGAGATCTTCACGTAGACCTGGGGAGGGAGGTATGCCGCGCTCAAGGCTCCCGGGATGCGTGCGCCCTCCGGACACATCCCACTGGCCGCCGCCCACCGCGTCAGCCCTCTCCAAAAGCCACGCTCTTCTCGGAAGGTCTCCCCACTACTCACTGTGGTCTTGCTGGGAGCCCTCTCTTTACTTCGGCCCCCCCAACACCCCACGGGGTCAGCCTCCCCTTAGGGCCAAGGCTGATGGGGGGCACCAGATGGGCACCAGATGGGAGGGACCGCTCCCCCTGCAGGCCCCACAAGGCACTCCCCCTGACCCTCCATCCAAGCTCTGAGGTCCACAAGGTCATAACAAGAGTTCTGTGTGTGTGTGCACATGCGTGCATGCACATATCTCTGTGCACACCTATGTGCATGTAGGTGTGGTCTATGCATACATATGTGCACAATGCATGTGTGCATGCGTGTGCACACGAGTGTCTCTATGTGCACGTGCGGTTAGACCTCCCAGTCTGCAACTTGGTCCATGGAGCCTTGGTCCCAGGCTCCTTGGTCCACATCCTTTTGTCCAACGAGCATGTGTGAAGCACCTAGTGGGTGCAGAGGCCCTACTAGGAGCTAAAGTAATGTAGTCAAAGAAGACACGAGTGATCCCTGGACGCCTGAGGGTCAACACGCCTACATCACACACGCATGCACGTGTGATGTGGAGGGAAGGTTCCGAGGAAAATCGAGTGGCAAGTGTGACAGAGCATCTGAATCCTGCCTGAGGACAAGCCCGGCGGGACCTGAGTGTGAGCAGCTGGTGCAGGCTGCGTCAGGAGCTCCCACATCCCTCTTGACTCAGTGTTCTTCCAGAACATTCTTCCAGGGAGGAAAGAAGAAACTTGAGAGCCAAGTGTCAGTGGGCCGTATTTTCCGGCTCCTGGGTGGAATGACCGCCTGCCCGTGTTGAGGGAGCTGGATGGGTCCGTTTCCCTGGTGCCTTGGGGATGTGCAACAAACCAGCCTCCAGCGTGTTCTTGCAGCTAAAAGGGGCACCTGAGGGTCCCGCCTGCCCATTCGGTGAGGACCCTCCCTTGCAGGGGCCACCTGGTTGATCAGGGATCAGTTTGCACTTATTCCGGCTTTTTAAGATGGGGGTCCTACTCCTCCTGGCTACACACTATGCAAAAAGAATGACAGGAGCACCTGGGTGGCTCTGTTGAGTAAGCATCTGACTTTTGGTTTCAGTTCAGGGCATGATCTCACGGTTTGTGGGTTCCAGCCCTGCGTCGGGCTCTGTGTCGACAGCTTGGAGCCTGCTTGAGATTCTCTCTCCCCTTCTCTGCCCCTCCCCCCTCCATGCTTTGCTCTCTCTTGCTCTCTCTCAAAATAAATAAATACAACTAAAAAAAAAAAAAAAAAAAAAAGAATGACAGAGGATGGACCATACAGACACTGGGCTTTGGAGCACTGCTCCCCGGCTGCCTGTTTTGAGCCTATTTCACGTGTCCCCCTTAGTCCCCTCAGGCCACCCCCCGGCCGCCGCCTTGCTTTCCAACACAGCAGCTCCCACCCAGCCAAATCACAGGGCTCTGATCACCCCTCTCCTGCTTTCCCTACCAGACCCTAAAGCCCAGCTAGACTGTGTCATGGGCAATTCCCGGGACAGGCTAAGCCGCCTCCTGCCTCTGTTGCATGTGTATGCTGTTCCCTCTTCCAGGAATGCCCTTCCGGGTCCTGGTGCCTGGCTCAAACAGTGCCTGACGACTCCAGAGCTCAGGAGACCTGCCTCTTCTCGGGGCTCCGCTGGCTCCCTGCAAACCCTCAATTCTAACACAGCTCTGCCCCGAACTCCCTGGGAGAGCTTGGGCATGTAACGATGAGTCTCTGAGCTTCCTGTCTGGAAACAATTGCATCGACGGCCCTTCTTCCCCGGCCCACGTGGGCATTTGATATCGATGTAGGCAAAATCCTGAGGCCAGCACGGGGCACAGAGGTTAGTGGTAACAGCGCTCTGAGGTTGAGCACAGATGGGGGTCCTGGGCCCCGGGGTCCTCTGACATCTGCACAAGGCCCAGCACACACAGAGCACGTGCACAATTGGTTCTGCGTGACAGTGAATTCGAATCACTGGCATTTCACACCCAGGGGCCCCTTTCTGGCGGCCTCTGGATGTTTCATTTCCATTTCAGAACCTGCAACGACTATTCTTTTTTTTTTTTCCCTCCAGTTGAAATTTTCCTTTAATTAAAAAGTTTCAAGGGACAAGAAGCTCCTATGTGACAACACATTAACGTGTGGCTCTTCTGTAGAATCAAAGAAACACCAGCGGGAAAGTCAAATATAAACACCAGCATCGAACTTGTGCTGTGCCAGCCAGACGGCTGTGCGAGAGTCCTTCTTTACTGGCCTTCAGGCTGTCACCCGCCATCACATGCCACATGTTCTGATGCAGACATAATCATTCAGTGGACGTTTAGAACTTGCAAGTTCAAGGAAAAAAAGGAGTAAAATATTTTGTGCAAGCTCAAGGTCACCTTCTGAGCCGGGACTCGGGGCTCGCTGTCGCCTCCGGGCCAGGCTCAGAAATGATCAGAGACCACAGCCATCCCCTTTGAGACTCACAAGGGACCCTCGTGTCTGCTCTTTCCCTCCTGCTCCAGAGAAAGCCAGTGAGGGTCAGTGGGGCCAGGGTGAGCTCTCCTGCCCAGTTTACAGATGGGGTAACTGAGGCAAAGTGGGGCTGTAAGTGGAAGTGCTGAGCCAGGGCCCGGGCTTCTGGGGGCAGCGGGGTCTGAACTCGCTGGGACCACAGCGGCGGGGTAGTGGCTGTGCCTCCCACCCAGGCAGCCTTGGGTACCCCGCTGGTAGCAAATTCCAGTCACTCTCTAGCCACGTGTCCTCATTGTCTCAGGAAAAGCCAAAACTCTGGGGTGAAGTCTCTTGGTTTCCATGGTGCCTGCTTTGCGGCTGCAGCTCACATCTGCCCTCAGTGTGTCGTGAGCCCGCGGCCCTCGGGGTCCCCACCCACTTGGGCGGGGCCAGGGGGAGGTCAGCCACGTCCCCAGCGTGTGGCTTGTTGGGGTGAGGCTGAGACCTGCAGAGAGCAGGCCTGCTCCCAGCTGGACCACTGATCCTGTGCCCCGCTCAGCCCTCTACCCACAGCCTCGGCTTCCAGCCCCTGAGGGCTGCCTCTAACCCCGGAGAGCCCTCCCCACTTCCCTTCCTCCCACCCACCACTGACATCCAGGCTTAGCCAGCGCCCAAGGATTACAAAGTGGTGGAGGGTGAGTGCTCCTGGCCTCCCCAAGCCGCACAGATACACAGACCCCTGCCCCCCGAAACTCTCCCTTCCCCTCCATGCACCCACCTTATCTCACAGGCCACCCCCCTCGCCGGCCGGCCTTCCTCCCCAGCCTCCAAGCTCAGCCCCAAGCCCCCCACCTTGGGGTAGCTGTAACCGTCCGACTGTGGCCCCCGGAAAGTTATGTTGAAGTCCTAAACCCTCTGGTACCTGTCAACGTGATTTTCTTTGGAAACAGGGTCTGTGCAGAGGTCATTAAGTTACCATGAGGTTATTAGGGTAGGCCCTACCCCAACAGAATTGGGATCTTTAGAAGAGGAAACACAGAGAGAAATTCACAGAGGGAAGAGAAAGTGAGGGAAGAAGGAAGGCCATGTGAAGACAGGTTGCAGATTGGAGCCACGCAGCCACAAGCCGAAGACCGTCAAGGGCTGCCCGCAGCCGCCAAAGCCAGGCCTGAGGCACCAGACGGACCCTCCCTCAGAGCCCCCAGGAGGAACCCACCCTGCCCGCACCTTGACCTTGGACTCTGACCTCCAGAACTGTGAGACGACACATTTCTATTGTCTCAAGCCACCCGGTTCCCACTGCTTTGTCACAGCAGCTACAAGAAAGGGGTCGAGTAGCCTTTTTCACCAGACCCCACCGCAGAGCCCCTGCAGGGGCTGGAGCCTCGACAACATGACCAGGGTCTGGGTCCCTCTGCGGACACCCTTCTTAGCATCTGCGAACCCATTTAGCGTGTAACCACCGGTGACTCCTATCTCCCTGACATTTGTGGAGCCTGAAACACCAACAGGCAGAGTAACGCGGCCAGGGCCGGCCGGTGCGCAAGTATAAACTGGGAGACCGGGGCGCCTCGGTCGGTAGAGCGTCCGACATTGGCTCAGGTCGTGATCGCAAGGTTCACGGGTTCAAGACCCGCACAGGACTCTGTGCTGACCGCTCGGAGCCTGGAGCCTGCTTCGGATTCTGTGTCTCCCTCTCTGTCTGTCCCTCCCCCACTCACATTCTGTCTCTCTCTCAAAAATAAACATTTAAAATAAAGAAAGAAAGAAAGAAACAAACTGGGATACCGAGCACTTGCTTTGCTGACCTCCAGGACTTCCTGCCCCTGCCTCCCCAACAACACAGGGACCGCCCCTTCGGTGACTCCCTCCCTGATAATGAAGATGCTCTGTCCCCTTCCAAGCCCCTCAGGCTGACCCCCTCCCCTCACCCCTGCCTCTTGACATCACGGGTGCCATCCCCCCACCCCCGGGCACAGGGAAGGCTGTGTGCGGGGGCGGGCGTAGTACCTCGGCACAGGTGCCCATGTAGTTGTAGACGCTGAGCGGGATCTTGGCTTGCTCCCCGCGGACCACGTAGGCGGGCAGGGTGAAGTCCACAAAGAAAGGCTTGAAGGTCTTCAGCAGGGCAGGCACGGCGACACCCAGGCCCCAGGCCTCGGACAGACCCACGGCCTCACCCACCCAGCTGGTGATGGAGTCCGGGACCCGCACGCTGAGCATCTCCTCGCCGGACGGGTCGCTGTGGAAGGGTGGACAACCATGGGACCCTTTTCCAGGGCCGAGCTGAGGCAGCCAGGTGGGAATGCAGGGCTGCAGCTGAAAGGCCTGGGAGCCCAGGCAGGCGCCCCTGCAGCTCGGCAACAAGCACGTAGGCATAACACGTTGGCACACACGTAGGCGTGTGACAGGAGAATGCCGCCCCTCGGCCCTAACTCAGGTAATGAGGCGCACCAGTGGCTCTCAGGACAACGGTGGACCCACAACAGTGCACGTTCCGCCCAGTGTAGCGGGGGGGAGGACACTGAATTGAGGGGTCGAGTCATTTGGGGCTTGTGTCTCCCAGAAGTTACGCCCAAGCCCTAACCCCCTGTACCTGTGAATGTGACCTTATTTGGGGAAACAGGGTGTTTGCAGATGAAATTGGCCAAGATGAGTTCATACTGGACGAAGGTGGGCCCCAATCTAAGGATGGGGGTCCTTATAAGAAGGAAATCTGGACACAGAGGAGGAGACCATGTGAAGACAGGCAACAGACGGGAAGGATGCAGCTAAAAGCTGAGGAGCACCAGAGCCCCCAGGGGCTGGAGGAGGCCCAGAAGGCTCCTCCCCTAGAGCCCCCAGGGGCTGGAGAAGGCGCGGAAGGCTCCTCCCCTAGAGCCCCCAGGGGCTGGAGAAGGCGCGGAAGGCTCCTCCCCTAGAGCCCCCAGGGGCTGGAGGAGGCCCAGAAGGCTCCTCCCCTAGAGCCCCCAGGGGCTGGAGAAGGCGCGGAAGGCTCCTCCCCTAGAGCCCCCAGGGGCTGGAGGAGGCCCAGAAGGCTCCTCCCCTAGAGCCCCCAGGGGCGGCGTGGCCCTGCCCACACCCTGATCTCGGATGCCTGGCCTCCAGAACTGTGAGACAACAAATTTCTGTTGTTTTAAACCATCCAGTCCGTGGTTCTTCATGACAGCAGCCACAGAAACTCATACAGTATCAAAAAAAAAAAAAAAAAAGTACAACATATCATCGATCATTTTTTATATTGATCGCATTTTGAAACAACCATGTTTGGGGATATGTATCGGGCTGAATAAAATATAAGATTCAAATGAACTCCACCTGTTTCTTTTTGCCCTTTATAACACGGCACTAGGCAATCTGACGTTACGTACGTGAGGAATTACAGATGTTATCTTTCGAGCAGACGGTGCTGCTCACGATTCTCCCTGCCTTCACCCCGCCCCCACCCAACCCCCCCCCACCGCACCACTGATCACGTTAGGATGGCTCTGTGGTCAACTTTGCATATCCAGGATGTCCTTTCCAGATTTATTGTAAACATTTGCTGCAAGAATCCTCTGCTCCTTACTCACCTGCCTGACCCCTGTCTGCTTCCTGGGAGCCTGACCCCAGGCTGCGGCACATGGCGACCCCGCTGCCCATCAGGCCCCACAGGACCTAGGACATCTATCCTCACTTCTACAAGGGCCACACGCTGTCACCCTGTGACAACTCAAGTCAGCCTCTTCCCATTAGAAGTGGCAGAACTTTTACCAGCGTCATATGGGCACAGCCAACTTTTCTGTGGACGCTGGGTGCCACCAGCCTGCCCTTCAGGGGTATCTACCCTTCCTGGCCTGGCATCCTTGTCCCACAGACTCCTGCAGAGCCCGACCCTCGATTACGAATCTTTGTGTGATTTTTTTAGGCCTGACCACAGGCTGTTACAAAGGCTTTCCCTCGCAGGCCTCGGGGAAAGCCGCCCTCCCCACACCAGGCTTGTGGCCTAGCCAGTGTGCTGTGGTCTCTGAGGGGAACTGCAGTCAGGGACTCTGGGCCCCTGGCCAGCCATGCTTCTCCCATATTTGCCTTCCCAGCCCCAGTGCCTCCATTCCTAGCTCTGTGTGTTTTTAGGGATCTGCCTGGGCCCCAAGGTCATTAGGTATCTGAAGACCTCTGCCAAGGTCTCCTTCTCATGGGAGGAAACCTCGAAGGCATTTCTCCCACTTTGGCTCAGCACCCAGTACTTTCCCACTCTGAGCTCTCCTCCCTCTATTCTGTAGGTGTCAGGGCCCATAGAACCGCCAGAGCCGTTTGTCCAGGGCTCTCTCCATAGTGAGACGACCCCCATGTCTGATCCACCTGCAAGGTGTTCCGTTCTGTGGGGAAACCGGAACAGGGGGCATCAGGCTACACTGCCACCGTAGTGATGAAAGGGCTTCACCATTACTTTCACTATGGCTTCTCGTCATTGCTTGACTTGGCCACTCCAACACCTGACAGCTCAGTTCTCCCTCTCTCCAGCTCAGCCTTGACAGCTCCCACCCATCCCACCTTTGTGCATCTCGACCCTTGAGCCTCGTCAAACTGCTCAGAGTTACCTGCTTTCACAGGCATACCACACCTGGCTCTGCCCACCCACCTGGGGGCGCTCCCTCTGCCCGAAATAACCATGAAACAGCCACAGGAATGGGAGCTGCCCACCAGCCTGGCTGGGCTGTTGTGAGGGGCCTGGAGATGCACGGTGCACTGTGACCACCCCCAAAAAACTCACAGAGGGGAGGTGGGCATTACAGCCGAGGACAGAACATACTGGGCACTGGAACCAGGATACTGTCCCCAATCCCTACCATGTGCCCAGACAAGGTCCCTGCCTTGTGCTGCCTGCTATAAGGCACACAGAAAACAAAAAGCACAGTGATGGAAATAAGGCCCTCCTTATGAGCAATTACATTAAATGTAAATGGATTAAACTCTGCAGTCAAAAAAGCAGAGATCGACAGAGTGAATTAAAAAACATGACCTGACTCTCTGCTGTCTATAAGAAACTCACTTTAGCTGCAAAGACAAAAATAGGTTGGAAATGAAAGAATGGAAAAGATATCCCAGGCCAACTGTAACCAAGAGAAAGTAGCCGTGGCTATCCTGATATGAGACTAAAGGGGCTTTAAGTAAAAAAAGAGTATATGAGAGACTAAGAAGGACATTAGATAGTAATAAAAGGTTCCATACAGCAAAAAGATACAACAATTACAAACACCTACACATCTAATAACAGACCACTGACATATATGAAACATACAAAAAGGAAAAGAACTGAAGCAAGAAATAAAAAGCTTACAATAATAGTTGGGGACTTCAATAGCCTGTTCTGAGTAACAGACTGAACAACCAGACAGAAGATGAGTAAGCAAGTAGAAGACTTAACACAATAAAGCAACTAGATCCAGAGGCATGCACACACGACAGTCTTCAAGCAAGATCATGAGTAAGGCCACAAATGAAGTCTCAGTAGATTTTGAAAGGCAGATATTATACAAAGTATCTTCTCTGACCACAATAAGACAAAATTAGAAATTAGTAACAAAAGGAAAACCAGAAAATTTACAAATCTGGAAATTCAAGAACATATTTTTTTATGTTTATTTATTTATTTCAAGAGACAGAGAGAGCATGAGAGCATGCATGCAAGTGGGGGAGGGGCAGAGAGAATCCCTAGCAGGCTCTGTGCTGTCAGCACACAACCCGACAGAGGGCTCTATCTCACAAACCATGAGATCACGACCTGAGCTGATGTAATCAACACATTCTTAATTGACCAATGGATCAAAGAAGAGATCACAAAGGAAATTTTAAAATACTCAGAAATGAATGAAAACAAAACATAACACACTAAAACTTATGGGATGCAGTAAAAGCAGTGCTGAGAGGGAAATTTATAGCTATATATGTATTAAAAAAAGAAGAAAGATCTTGGGGCACCTGGGTAGTTCAGTTGGTTAAGCGTCCAACTCTTGATTTTGGCTCAGGTTCCTGAGTTCAAGCCCTGAGTTGCTGATGGTGCAGAGCCTGCTAGGCATTGTGTCTCTCTCTCTCTCTCTCTCTCTCTCTCTCTCTCTCTCTCTCTCCCTCCCTCTCTGTCTGCCTCTCCCCACTTGCACAAGCATGTGCACACTCTCTCTCAAAATAGATAAACTTTAAATAATAATAAAAAGAAAGATCTCAAATACACAACCTAATTTCACAACTTAAAGAACTAGAAAAAGAAAAACAAGCTAACCCCAAAGCTAACAGAAGGAAGGAAATAATAAAAAACTAGAGCAGAGATAAAGGAAATAGAGAACAGAAAAATAACAGAGTATCAACAAAACCATAAGTTGATTCTTTGAAAAGATCAATGAGACTGACCAACCTTTAACTAGACAGACTAAGGGAAAGAAAGAGAGAAGACTCAAGTTACTAAAATATGAAATGGAAGTGGGGACATTACTACCCATTCTGAGAAACCAAAAGATTATTTTAAAAAAGTACATAAAAGAGTACATAAATACCTATATGCCAAGAACTTGGATGATCCAGACGAAATGGGCAAATTATACAAATGCAAAACCAACCAAGACTAAATTACAAAGAAATACAAGATCTGAAGAGACCCAGAACTGAACAGACCTCTAAAGAGACTGAATCAATAACCCAAAATCTGTTTACAAAGAAAAAGCCCCAGACCTGATGGCTTCACTGGTGAATTCTAC